TCATTGGTCTCAGTAAATAGTACAGCAGACTGTTAGGTTACGCTCAAAATTAGTACAATATGACTAACTCTTAAATAAATTTAGTAGAGTATTAGCAGTGTTGATTCTAACAGACAGTCTAATGGCTGTTAGTTGACAAGTAGTTGCAGTTACTTGTAGTTAGTAGTAGTAGTAGATTATCAAAATAAAGTGTAACCAGATATGCAATTAGTATATTTTTCCAAAATATTTAGCAATATTGTTTAACTAACATGAAATGAGACATCAAGTGCGACTGTACTGAAATCATCATGGAAGTAATGTGCTTCTGTCCTGTTTTACCCTACATGTTATGTAAATGAGCTTGTGCATTTGGACTTGTACAATAACACAAGTCAGTCACAAATTAACTTTAATGATCATACCTCTCTTTTTTGTGAATGCTGGGTCTGCATCACTATCTTCACAGACACTGTACCATGGTGATGATACTTGAGGGGACTCTGAAAGTAAAAATCAAGTCTGAGAGTTGACTTCTCTGCAGAAAGCTTACCAAAATATTTATTTGATTTTGTGTTGTTCTTTTTAATGGGTAAAATCGTGTGATGGTAGCTTAAATATAGTTTTCAAACATAGCACATACATATCATGATAAAAATTAACATTCTGAAAAAAGAAAAATTCTGATCAGAAAAATAAATAATATTTTTACCTTTTAGACTGGACTTCACCTCCTCCAAAATCAAGATCCACTGTAACTTTCTCTGAATGTAAAAACCCACACAAAAATACATCATTTAAAACAATATGATACATGTTTGCAAATACAAATGTGTATATAACATCCAGAAAATCTGGCACTGTACTACATGTTTGTGTGTAAACCCACGATTTGATCAAGATTCCACCCTTTAAAATCTGCCGAGCGTCTGTTTTCAAGTCCCAGAAAAACTGAGTTGTGGGAACAGAGCAGTTCTCTTCTGCAGTCATACAGTCATAACACACACATACATATGAAGAGTTAGGTTGCAAAATGCGATAAACGGCATTTTTTGACATTTGGATTTTATTATTGGAAATCACTGTTCAGATGTACCTTAATCTATGTGTGAATTGCTGCCATTAATAACATTTAAGAAAGCACATTTTAGGCCAAGTACAAAACGTATTTTTTTTTCACAAAACGCAATTTCCGTCAGACCAGTTACTTTACAAAGTGCGATATAACAGTTAGAGAACGTTCAGGATGCGGCGCGAGCTTAGCATCCCCTGGGAAGAGGGTCATCACCGGTGAAGTGCTCAGAGTTTGCTCATTGATTTAGCGATAGAAGATGAAGTCTTCCACTTCACAAAAATTTATAAAAAGGCCACAAAAGTGGACCAGAATAAGATACTTTTGCGTCAACAATACACAAATGCAGCAGGGAACGAGTCTCCGCTGATGTCAAGAGAAGGCCTAGGAGCGCCTTTTTTCCTACTCCCCATCACAAGATACCTGTCTGCAAGGCGACATTTCTAAGTGTCCTTTATAAGTTTATTTTTTAAATAATTTCTTACATGTAGCTGAGTAGCCTATCTGAAGATTTATTTATGCGGTTGCACCTATTATTTATAATTAATTCTTGTTGTTGTTGATTTATTACAAAGGAACTTAAAGGGCACATGTTGTTATGGAGAAAACGGTTTAGCTTTTTCACAACCAAATAAATAAGCTATTATTATTATTATTACAGTGAAATAATTCATTAAATATGACATAGCGAGGCAAGTTTGTGTCACAGACTCAGCTCCGCCCGCTCTAATCATACAGGTTTGGTTTTCTGCAGCGGTGTGGAAGGAGCCGCCCTCCACTCTTTCTGTACCAAGCTAAAGGTCATTTATCTAACTAACTTAATCTTACTTATCAAACAAAACATTGATTCACTAGCTTTTGGTAATGGTATTAATGTAGTATAATATAGCCTAAGGTGGATGTAGCGTTTTGCAAAAAAAAAAATAAAATAAAGTTATGTTATGTTGTGTACATTCTGGCCAAATCTAACTTAGAATCTTATTATTATTAATCAATCTTTGCATATATTATTCCATATATTTATGGTGTATAGTTTTTTTTTTACCAATTTAAGATGTTTGACAATGTGGGTTGGATTAATATGTAGCATTTTGGCATGTTTTTTTTACTTAATTATAGACATAAAATTAAACAAAAAATATCCTGGATTTGAAAATATTGTGTTCCTGGCCTTCACTGAGCTCAAGTTATAGTTTAATGTACAAAAATTGTGAATGAACTTGACTGTTAATGTCATGAAAAATAATGTCAAAATAACCAACATTTTTTTAAATGGATATATCTCGTTCTGCAATGAAACTCTTCATATACAGTTGAAGTCAGAATTATTAGCCCCCCTGAATTATTAGACAGCTTGTTTATTATTTCCCCAATTTCTGTTTAACGGAGAGAAGATTTTTTTCAACACATTTCTAAACATAATAGTTTTAATAACTATTTCTAATAATCATTTCTAATAATGGACTTATTTAATCTTTGCCATGACGACAGTAAATAATATTAGACTAGATATTCATTAAGACACTTCTATACAGCTTAAAGTGAAATTTAAAGGCTTAACTAGGGTAATTAGGTTAACTAGGCAGGTTAGGGTAATTAGTCAAGTTATTGTATAACGATGGTTTGTTCTGTAAATTATCGAGAAAAAAATATAGCTTAAAGAGGCTAATAATTTTGTCCCTTAAATGGTGTTTAAAAAAATGTAAACTGTTTTTATTCTAGTCAAAATAAAACAAATAAGACTTTTTCCAGAAGAAAAAAATATTATCAGACATAGACAGCAGTACTCAAGGTTCGCGGTCTCCACTATGTCAGGCCTTACTGTGTGTGTATTGAGGACTAAGTGTGTTTAACAGCTTCTCTAACATGCCTCTGGTCCCCACAATGTCAGTGCATATGTTCACCAATTAGGACACACACTCTGTTTCATTTCTATATTTTGATTAAGTTAAATAATTACAATTAAATACACCACTACTACAACAACAACTACTATTACTACTACAACTAATAATAATAATAATAATAATAATAATAATTGTTATTATTATTATTATTATAAACACACCTCATCAGAGTTGTGGGTCTCCTACTGGAGCAGAGCAGTTCTCTTCCTCTGTCATATGGTCATCCTTCAATAAAAGCTGAAAAAAATAAAATATATATATATATATATATATATATATATATATATTAGTTAGACAGTAGTACTCAAGGGTCCCGGTCCCCACTACGTCAGACCTTACTGTGTGTATTCAGGACTAAGTGTGTTTCACAGCTTCTCTAACATGCCTCTGGTCCCCACAATGTTACACTAGTGCATACGTTCATAAATTAGGACACACACTCTGTTTCATTTCTATATTTTGATTAAGTTAAATAATTACAATTAAATGCACTACTACTACAACAACAACTACTACTACTACTACTAATAAAAATAATAACAACAACATTAAACACACCTCATCAGAGAGTTGTGGGTCACGTACTGGAGCAGAGCAGTTCTCTTCCTCTGTCATAAGGTCATCCTTCAATATAAGCTGAATATAAAAAAAAATGTATATTAGTTAGACAGCAGTACTCAAGGGTTCCGGTCCCCACTATGTCAGACCGTACTGTGTGTGTATTCAGGACTAAGTGTGTTTCACAGCTTCTCTAACATGCCTCTGGTCCCCACAATGTTACACTAGTGCATACATTCAAAAATTAGGACACACACTCTGTTGCATTTCTATATTTTGATTAAGTTAAATAATTACAATTAAATGCACTACTACTACAACAACAACTACTACTACTAATAATAATAACAACAACAATAATAAACACACCTCATCAGAGTTGTGGGTCACGTACTGGAGCAGAGCAGTTCTCTTCCTCTGTCATAAGGTCATCCTTCAATAAAAGCTGAATAAAAAAAATAAAAAAATATATATTAGTTAGACAGCAGTACTCAAGGGTCCCGGTCCCCACTATGTCAGACCTTACTGTGTGTGTATTCAGGACTAAGTGTATTTTACAGCTTCTCTAACATGCCTCTGGTCCCCACAATGTTACACTAGTGCATACATTCAAAAATTAGGACACACACTCTGTTTCATTTCTATATTTTGATTAAGTTAAATAATTACAATTAAATGCAGCACTACTACAACAACAACTACTACTACTACAACAACTAGTAATAATAATAACAACAACAACAACAACAATATTAATAAACACACCTCATAAGAGAGTTGTGGGTCTCGTACTGGAGCAGAGCTGTTCTCTCCTTCTGTCATATGGTCATACTTCAGCAAACCTGAATATAAAAAATATATATATTACTTAGACAGCAGTACTCAAGGGTTCCGGTCCCCACTATGTCAGACCGTACTGTGTGTGTATTCAGGACTAAGTGTGTTTCACAGCTTCTCTAACATGCCTCTGGTCCCCACAATGTTACACTAGTGCATACATTCACCAATTAGGACACACACTCTGTTTCATTTCTAGATTTTGATTAAGATAAAGAATTACAATTAAATGCACCACTACTACAACAACAACTACTACTACTACTAATAATAATAACAACAACATTAAACACACCTCATCAGAGTTGTGGGTCACGTACTGGAGCAGAGCAGTTCTCTTCCTCTGTCATATGGTCAACTATCAATATAAGCTGAAAAAAAATAAAATATATATTAGTTAGACAGCAGTACTCAAGGGTTCCGGTCCCCACTATGTCAGGCCTTACTGTGTGTGTATTGAGGACTAAGTGTGTTTCACAGCTTCTCTAACATGCCTCTGGTCCCCACAATGTTACACTAGTGCATACGTTCACCAATTAGGACACACACTCTGTTTCATTTCTAGATTTTGATTAAGTTAAATAATTACAATTAAATTCACTACTACTACAACAACAACTACTACTACTACTACTAATAAAAATAATAATAATTATTATTATTATTAAATTTAAACCCACCTCATCAGAGGGTTGTGGGTCTCCTACTGGAGCAGAGCAGTTCTCTTCTTCTCGTCATTTGGTCATACTTCAATAAAAGCTGAATATAAAAAACAAAAAATAATAATTAGACAGTAGTACTCAGGGCTCCCGGTCCCCACTATGTCAGACCGTACTGTGTGTGTATTGAGGACTAAGTGTGTTTCACAGCTTCTCTAACATGCCTCTGGTCCCCACAATGTTACACTATTGCATATGTTCATAAATTAGGACACACACTAAGTTAAATAATTACAATTAAATGCATTACTACAGCAACAACATTCACTACTACTACTACTAATAATAATAATAATACTAATAAACATACCTCATCAGAGAGTTGTCAGAGCAGTTCTCTTCTGCAGTCATATGGGCATCCTTCAATGAAAACTATTTAAAAACAGCTTTGTTATATAAGTCATGTCATGACTATAAAGCTTTCATGACAGTCTTATGAACCCCCCTTTAAAGTAAAGCATTACCCAATTAATTAAACTTTTTTTTACCCATTAAGACAAGAAGAAGATATTAAGAGATTGATTTCATTATCTCTTATAAATGATGCAAACTCTTTATTTTTGAACAGATTTACCTTTAATCTATATTAACATTAAAAACTCTTAGCTTTGCTGAATGTATTAAGGATTAATGTATTAAGTGATCAAAATGTCAAACCTTTCTCCAAGGCCAATCACATGCGCCATAGTCAAACGTTATTTCCTCTCCAAAGAAAATATTCCTGATTGCAAAAAGGCACAAATGAGGTTTTCTCTGAACAACGATCTTATTGACAGTGCAGTTAGGGTGCAGATGGTCATCATTCACCAGCCGGCCGAGGGTCTCGTCCTCATGATCGGCATCAATGCTGCAAAACTAAGAGAAAAGAGCAAGCAACATTTTAATTATGCCCTCTCATAGCAATAAAAAGCTAAACTATGGCATGAATACAAACAGAATGAATATAATATATACATGTACATTTGAATGGGGAAAACACTTAACCACCTGTTCTTGTTTTACCATATAAAGTCAAACATAAAGACAGTATTTTTATTAATATCACATATATGCTTTGCTTCCACAAGCTCTATCATTTGTACTCAACCACAAAACTTCCTTTAATAAATGTGGACAACGCAAACTCTGACCTAAAAGATTTAATGAAACGTGTAGGGTTCAAAAACTACAAAAACCTCACATTAGCATCCTCTCTGTGTGTGAATTATAAATACAGTAAACCTTTTGAAGTGGATCAGAACCTTTCCTCAATGTTGTTCTAATACTATTGAACACCTGTTCTTCTTTCTTAGGACAGTTTTAAATAACTTTTTTCAACTTCAATTGTTTACAGGTCACACTTTACAATCAGGTTTTATTAGTTAATGTACTTACTAACATGACCTAGTAATGAACAATGCATGTACAGCATTTATTAATCATAGTTTAACATTTACTAATGCATCATTCAAATCTAAATTCATGCTTGTACCAGTAATAATGCATTGCAATAATTAATGCATTGTGCGTGTTTAACTAGTAATAAACAACTTTATTTTCATTAACTAAAGTTAAACAACATGAACAAATACTGTAATAAAGTATTATTTATTGTTCATGTTAGCAAATGCATTAACCATCATTAACTAATTTAACCTTATTGTAAAAGGCTACCAGTTGACAGCAAATAAATAAATGAAACACACACAGTGAACATTTATGTACTTTTATATATGTTTTACACTAAGTTGGAGTTTATTATAATTATTTATCTAAAATAAAACGTTTCTGCACGTCATAGAACAATAAATTAAGTACATTTCTAGGACCAGATGGCCCCACATTTTAATTATAACCTCTATATTACTACATTAACGTATAAATAGTATATAATAGTGTTATTTCAGGATTAACGTTAAATGTTTAAAGCAATTAACCATTTAAAAAGTATGATACAAGAACTATGAAAACATACCTTAGTAACCTTCTATATATTCGGTTTCCAGTGAATGGGTCTTGTCAGTGGAGCTGGTGATGTGTTTCTCCGCATCTTTTAATGGTTTTATCCTCCGTCGATCCATTTAGCCGCACGGTGATTGGTGACTGTCTGACCGCGGCTCATGCACTCCACCCCGGCCTCTGACTCACGTAGCACCGGGCAGTTAGCACGTTAGCACATTAGCGCGAGTAACTTTTACTCGTGTAAACAAGTTAAATTACATACCGAACTATAGTTTGTGTCTTATCAGTGTTATATTAATACGTAATTTGAAACACCATTGATTAAAACACCCAGGACATTCGTTAAAACATTTAATTAACTATACCTGATAACTGTCAAAATATGCAACATAAGTATTTGTCATAAAACCGATTTCATTACATTATGATGGTGAAAAACATTATAACTTACCCGAAAATTCGATTAATTTGATGATAGATCTTAATTAAGTTGATTAAAGTCGGATTCATTTATGAGATCTGCGCATGTGCAGTAGCCAGAGTGTGTAAGTGTGTGTCAGGGTGCAGTACCGCCATCCGACTACAGGACCGCTATAGAGCAGTGCGCCGACACACACTTACACACTCAATTCAGGTAAATGGTCAAGGTGGGGATCAGTGAAAAAAACTGCACTAGGCATATCAGCAACGCCCCCTGAGTCTTTTAAAGGCAAAACATGGTGGGGACCGGGCGATCGGTCCCCACTATGTTTTTGGTCCCCACTTTGTGAGTGTGCTATCATGCTGAGGTCCCCACCATGTAATAAAAACAAACACACACACACACACACACACACACACACACACACACACACACAGCTTCTTAGGCAGACCAGTAAAATAAAATTCTAATGTGCAAATGCCTGTGAAACAGACTGAGAATCTGGCTGAGGCAAAGGCATCAGAGGAGGACAAGCTAAAAGCGGTGATGTACCAGTCCAGTCTGTGCTACTACTCCAGCAGGTGAGCGTTCAGACACTGACAGGTTTGGTTTGTGAGAAATGTTAGAGCTGATTCTCATGGTTCTGATGTTTATCAGTGAGGCCATGACACTGCTTGGGCTTCTTCCACCCAACTATGTCTGCTTTCACTGTGGGATCCCAGGACACCACATTAGGCACTGCCCCTCTAAAGGGGTAACTGGGTTTTCTAAGCTTATGGTTGCTGTGAACTTGAGCTCTTGTCTCCATCAGTCAGATTGTTTGCTCTGTCGTTTGACTGTCACTCATGAATTCACAGGGCAGCAGCTCTGCTCCGCACAAGCGCATCAGGAGGAGCACAGGGATTCCCCGCAGCTTCCTGTTGGAGGTGGACGACCCAAACCGAAAGGGAGTCATGATGGACGGCAGCGGCAAATACGTCATTCCCATCATAGACGCGTGAGTAAACTGTACTTGGCATTGCAGCATGTTTTAGTGTTTGTGAAAATCTCACATTATGTCTGCTTGTGTGTGTTTGCGCTCGATTTGTTCAGTGAGGCCTATGCTGCTGAGAAGAAAAAGAGGCCGTTCTTCTCCTGCCAGACCAAGCCACTGCCCTCCTCTTCCTCAGCTGGTGTAGCATCTTCTGTCCAGGACGCCAGAGGGAAACGTTCCCACTCCCCATCTCCACCAGAGACGCACGGCGACCAGAAGAGACCACGTCACTGAGAGACCTTCACCCAAGAGATCTGGAGCCGACGTGAGCACAGTGTATATATTGTACATAGTTTATGAATAAAACTGAATAAAGATTATAGCAGCATAAACTGTGGACTGGTTGACCTTCACACAATACAGAAACACAAAAGAAAATGATCAACACATTAAGATAGAAATGATGAACAAACATGCTGCGGTAGAACCAGTGTGCTGTCCTGCTCAGAATCTAAAACTTTTAGTTAAAGTCTATTTCAGAGGTGCTTCAGGGAAACTTTTTCTTATGAAAGGCCAAAAACTAAACTCGTCTGAGGGTGGTGGGCTGGAGGTAAATCTACCAAACTGTAAAATTGTCAATGTAATTTCCTAATTTATTATTATTATTCATTATATAATTTACATGATTCACTGAATACTGTAATTTACAACATTTCAAATTCTTTAATTGTATTAATAATTATACATTTTATAATGAATGAAAGTCTTACAATAAAACATGAACAATCCCATTTATAACACTAAAAATACACTTTGCCTTCGCTTGCTGATGTCTTCTGTAATGTCTGCTCTCCTTCAAGTGACTATTATTTTATTTGATTCATTCACAACATTTCATTGAAACGTTTAATTTCAGTTTGATTATTTTTGTATCTCAACAGTTAAAAAATAAAGTTATGTTGTATTAGAAATGACAATCTCTGTTAAAGACTTTCCCCCAAAACTCCCCATCATTCTCCCTCTCTTCTCAGATGGGATGGAGGGCCAAATCAAAGGTTACCGTGGATCCACTTTGGCCCACGGCCCTAGTTTGGGCATCTCTGGTTTACACCGATGACATGCTCATCTAATCAATCCTGGCCAAACAAAATGTTGCAGCTCATCTGGTCTTCAATGATCCCAAGAGAGCCCACGTCACACCTCTCTTACCTCTCCACTTACACTGGCTGTCAGCTGAAGGTTCAAAACATCTCCACTTGCTACTTGCTACACTTGCCCCTGTGTCCAGAAGTGAGCACTGCCTCTTAGAACCATCAAGGATTTGGGGGTGTTTAACCCTTCTGTGCTGTTGGTGAAGTTTTGGTCCACTCTGGGCTGATTTTGAGGCTTAATTTACCAACAACTTTCTCTGTGGTTCAGCAAATGGGATGATTTTTGGTGACAAATCTTGTTGACACATATTTTGGGAAAATACTTTTAGAATTTTTTAAAAACTCAACAATACACTCTGGGCAAATTTACCACCCTTTCATTGTGTTCATGGCTGTTTTTGCCCAAATGATTTCCATTATTTTTAAATGCAACGTCATGACAGCGTATAATCATGCATTCTTGATTGTTGGTGTTTTTTCCTGTTGGGATGAGGTAAGATTTGTGATTTTTACTGGTGATCATCAGTTAAAGTTCAAAAAAAGCTTGATTTCTTGCTTTTATTTGGTGTTTAGTGAGTGTGTGAGGTTGTAAGAGAGACTTTTACACACATATATTGATGTGTAGGAGAAAATACAAAATAGGCACCTCAGCTGTCAGAACATAGTAAACATAGTAAGTGTACTTATGCATGCACTCTATAAATTGCAGTTTTACTCCACAGAACTCCATATAAAAGTCAGACACGCTTTTGCACGGGGCAATGTAAAGGATTTAATGGTGCCAACTGATGATCAACAGTAAAAATGAAATTTGACCTCTTCCTAAGTGGGAACCCACTAACCAGAGTTGCTGCTGGTCAAAAGGAGACCCTAAGATAATTTTTACTGCGGTGCTTCAGCAGAGAAACAAAAACACACAAACATATGTATTTAAATGTGTATTCATTTATTATATATAAAAATATGCATATAAACACTCAACATTAAATGTTTCATAAAATAACATTTTACGTAAAAATAAACACTGACATGTCTTCTGCAGAAGGATTCCTAATTGCAAACATTTACAAAGGTTGTCATAAAACCCTGTCTGAAGCTGTAGAGATAGACGGTCCTCGGTGCTGCATGCTGTATCTGTAACGGTCAGCTGCTGGGCCCGGTTTTTCAAAAGGTTTAATCCGGATCAAATTGATCCAGATTTAGTAATTCTGTTTTTGCGATCCGTGATCAGGTAATCCAGCTTACTTTTTGAGCCAGTTTTTCAAAGCAACATCGATTTGGATCAATCTGATCCGGATAGGAACTTTTCAGGATCACTAAATCTGGATAACCAGTGCTCAAACAGGATAGGAAATCACTATCCAGATTTTTTGGATCAAAATGATCCAGATCCTACAAAAAAGATCTGAAAAACCCAAACTAAAGGTTTGATCTGGATCAAAACCAAGATTAGATTATGTGATCTAATCCGATTATGTAATTCGTTTTTTCTTTTAAAAAAACCCATTTTCAAGATTTGATCCAATCCCTTATCCAAAATCCTAGTGGATTACTTTTAAAAAACCAGGCCCTGGGCCCGTTTTTTCAAAAGGTTTAATCCGCATCAAATTTATCCAGATTTAGTAATTCTGTTTTTGCGATCCGTGATCACGTAATCCAGCTTACATTTTGAGCCAGTTTTTCAGAGCAACATCGAAATGGATCAAACTGATCCGGATAGGAACTTTTCAGGATCACTAAATCTGGATTACCAGTGCTCAAACAGGATAAGAAATCACAATGTAGAACTATAGATATGTAAAGAGCGACAAGTAGAATAGCCAGCGTGGGGTCAACATAACTTTATTTTTTTTTAATGAAAACTTAATAAATATTAAATTAATAATAATAATAAATAATAAAAACAAGAAAAACAACACCCCATCCTCTTCCAGCAGTCCGCTCATCTGAGACCTAAAACACTGTACATTGAGGATATTTATAATAAGTTTCAAATATAGATGTAAATAAAAAAAGACTTAATGTCAAAAACTCCACAATAATCTCAGACTTCCTCATCTGATGTGGAGAGAGCAGCTTGTCTGAGCGTAGCTTTTAGGAGGCGGATCTCATGTCCTTGGCCTTGGTTTGCTGCAGTTTGGTCAGAGTCAGTTGTTCCCCCGCCAGACGAAGCTGTGCTTCTGCCCTTTCAGTCTCTTTTTGCAATTGTTGAAAGAGATTTAAAAAATCAGTCATTGCCATTCTTTGCATTTTTTGTTATTCTGTAATCATTGCATGCATCACTAATAAATATTCTAAAAAGAAAAATATTTTTCATTGTGATGAATATAGATATCAATTAGAGACAAAATAAAATTGATTGTTTTTGGTCAATTTTCACAGCTGTTTGGGGGATTATTTTATGAGGCCAAACTCTTTCTACGTTGCTGGAGGCCTATACTGAAAGGCTAAATACATTAAAGCCAATAATCACTATAGCCTGACGGATGAACAAATAAAATTAAAACCTTATGAATAAATAGTATATCTCGTAAGATACTGCATGATCCAAAAATAGTATTATTTAATACATTTTTTAAGTTTTCATTACATTTTAGGCATGAAATCCACGCTAAATCCACCCTTCTGATGGGATCAGTTTAATCCAGGTTTTTTGGATCAAAGTGATCCAGATCCTACAAAAAAGGTCTGAAAAACCCAAACTAAAGGTTTGATCCGGATCAAAACCAAGATTAGATTACGTGATCTAATCCGATTAGGTAATCCGTTTTTTTCTTTTGATAAACCCATTTTCAAGATTTGATCCAATCCCTTATCCAAAATCCTAGTGGATTACTTTTGAAAAACCGGGCCCTGGGCCCGGTTTTGCAAAATGTTTAATCCACATCAAATTGATCTGTATTTAGTAATCCTGTTTTTGCGATCCGTGATAACGTAATCCAGCTTACTTTTTGAGACAGTTTTTCAAAGCAACATCGGATTGGATCAATCTGATCCGGATAGGAACTTTTCAGGATCACTAAATCTGGATTACCAGTGCTCAAACACAATGTAGATAAAGATAGGCCTGTGTAAAGAGCAACAAGTAGAATAGCCAGTTTGGGGTAGATATAACTTTATTTTTATTTAAAATGAAAACTAAGAAAATTTAATAAATAATAAAATAATAATAATAAATAAAAAAACAAGAAAAACCCCACCCCATCCTCTTTCAGCAGTCCGCTCATCTGAGACCTACAACACTGTACATTGAGGATATTTATAACAAGTTTCAAATATAGATGTAGATAAAAAAAAAGACTTAATGTCAAAAACTCCACAATAATTTCAGACTTCCTCATCTGATGTGGAGAGAGCAGCTTGTCTGAGCGTAGCCTTTAGGAGGCGGATCTGAAGTCTGGCCTTGGTTTGCTGCAGTTTGGAGTCAGTTGTTCCTCTGTCAGATGAAGCTGTGCTTCTGCCCTTTCAGTCTCTTTTTGCAATTGTTGAAAGAGATTTCTAAAATCAGTCATTGCCATTCTTTGCACTTTTTTTTTTTGGTTATTCTGTAATCATTGCATGCATCACTAATAAATATTCTAAAAACAAAAATATTTTCCATTGTGATGAATATAGATAACAATTATTGACAATAAAATGTATTGTTTTTGGTCAATTTTGACAGCTGTTTGGGGGATTATTTTATTGGGCCAAGCTATTTCTACTTTGCTGTAGGCCTATACTGAAAGGCTAAATACGTTAAAGCCAATAATCACTATAGCCTGATGGATGAACAAATAAAATTAAAACCTTATGAATCAATAGTATATCTCGTAAGATAATGTGT